GCTTCCCTATAGTTGTCTGATACTCCACAGAGACCAGAATGGCTCATTGCTGTTATATTAGCCACCTGGAGTTTTCCTGAACAGCTTCCCTATAGTTGTCTGATACTCCACAGAGACCAGAATGGCTCATTGCTGTTATATTAGCCACCTGGAGTTTTCCTGAACAGCTTCCCTATAGTTGTCTGATACTCCACAGAGACCAGAATGGCTCATTGCTGTTATTGCAAGGCATTTGTACACATCCATTACACAAATTGATTTTTTTGTTATTTGAACAAAAATTGAACCTCAAATATTTGTACAAATTAAGAGATTTTAAATCAAAGGGGATGTGTATTTTAAATTTGATTTCTGTGTGTGATTATCATTATACCTAACTTTTTTGTATTTGTTGGCTGCTTATTTGGAGAATGTCTGAACTTTTGTAAAACATTTGTTTCATTATTTACAGTGTTTCATTCAAACTCCTAGGTTTTATGTACCTGTATATTGATGAAGATATTTACTTGACATTGTAGAACGTTTGTGTTGGTGTCTGACCTGTTTGGTTTACTGACTGACCCAGCTATCCTTTCTCTGGATGATACCGGGAACATTCTGCCATTGATGCAATATATGTACAATGTGTTTATACAGCAACAGAATGGTGAGTCTGAATTAAGCTACAGATGTGATAGAGAAACTGAAATAAGCTACAGATAAAATAGACTGAAATAAGCTACAGATAAAATAGAGAGACTGAAATAAGCTACCGATAAAATAAAGAGACTGAAATAAGCTACAGATAAAATAGAAAGACTGAAATAAGCTACAGATAAAATAGACTGAAATAAGCTACAGATAAAATAGAGAGACTGAAATAAGCTACAGATAAAATAGAAAGACTGAAATAAACTACAGATAAAATAGAGAGACTGAAATAAGCTACAGATGAAATAGACTGAAATAAGCTACAGATAAAATAGAGACTGAAAAAAATTGAAATAAGCTACAGATAAAATAAAGAGACTGAAATAAGCTACCGATAGAATAGAGAGCCTGAAATAAGCTACAGATAAAATAGAGAGACTAAAATAAGCTACCAATAGAATAGAGAGACTGAAATAAGCTACTGATAAAATAGAGACTGAAATAAACTACAGATAAAATAGAAAGACTGAAATAAGCTACAGACAAAATAGAGAGACTGAAATAAGCTACAGATAAAATAGAGACTGAAATAAGCTACAGATAAATAAAGAGACTGAAATAAGCTACAGATAAAATAGAGAGACTGAAATAAGCTACAGATAAAATAGAGAGACTGAAATAAGCTACAGATAAAATAGAGAGACTGAAATAAGCTACAGATAAAATAGAGAGACTGAAATAAGCTACAGATAAAATAGAGAGACTGAAATAAGCTACAGATAAAATAGAGAGACTGAAATAAGCTACAGATAAAATAGAGAGACTGAAATAAGCTACAGATAAAATAGAGAGACTGAAATAAGCTACAGATAAAATAGAGAGACTGAAATAAGCTACAGATGAAATAGACTGAAATAAGCTACAGATAAAATAGAGACTGAAAAAAATTGAAATAAGCTACAGATAAAATAAAGAGACTGAAATAAGCTACCAATAGAATAAAGAGAGTGAAATAAGCTAAAATAAGCTACAGATAAAATAAAGAGACTGAAATAAGTTACAGATAAAACAGAGAGACTGAAATAAACTACTGATAAAATAGAGACTGAATTAAGGTACAGATAAAATAGAGAGACTGAAATAAGCTGAAATAAGCTACAGATAAAATAAAGAGACTGAAATAAGTTACAGATAAAACAGAGAGACTGAAATAAGCTACTGATAAAATAGAGACTGAAATAAGCTACAGATAGAATAGAGAGACTGAAATAAGCTACAGATAAAACAGAGAGACTGAAATAAGCTACAGATAATATCGAGAGACTGAAATAAGCTACAGATAAAATAGAGCGACTGAAATAAGCTACAGACAAAATAGAGAGACTGAAATAAGCTACAGATAAAATAGACAATTTCCATGAGGAGCTGTCTAAACACTTCAAAACTGCACAGTTACGATTTTCATGTTGATATTAAATGACCATAACTCACTAGACCAAAGGAGCTGTTTCTTCAATTTTAGACAATAGTAGCTTTTATTAAATGTAAGCTAAAACTTGTAAAGCTGAGACCATAACATGTGTATACCGTAACTATTTTTTATTCTCAAATGTACATTTATATACAACTAAACACGCAAGAACAGTTTAACCTGTTTATTACTACAGTTATAATACATACAAGCTACAAGTTTGGCGTATCAGGGGCTACTCACTCTATACCAAAACGATTAAACTTACTAATAGGATATTTAAAATTTAAAGAATCTGGACTCTGAGGTGTCCCAGAGTAGCTAGCTACATGATCGAGCAAGACTCCAAAGATACAGAGAAGCAACTAGACCCTGGACGATTCCAGAGAAGCTACTAGACTCTGCGAGCGACCCTGGAGAAGCTGCATGAGAAATGGAATATTCAACGACTACGGCTAGACCCTCAACGATATGAGAGAAGCTGAATATGTTAGCTAGACCCTCAACGATATGAGAGAAGCTGAAACATACTGTCGTAAAATACTACATGTATAATATTATTATAAGATTGGGGGTAGAATTCCCCAAGAATTAAATGCCAAAATTAAACTATATGTTTTAAAATTAAGAGTGAGTAGCCCAAACAATTAAAACAAAATCAGGAGACCAACTGAGATGACATTCATATGACAGTTTAAGGGTATAGCAAAACCAAAGCACCAAAGTAATGTTATAGCATACGTATATGGTATTACAATCATATATAAAGTACAGATTATATATATATATTACATGAATAAACAGTACAATTACAGGTGCTGAAGGGGATGGCGGGTGGGAATGCACAACAATCTCCTTCAATGATTCAGAAAACTATGCTGTGGGGGCTCCAAATCCCTAACAGGGCATTCCCTCAGGCAGACGCTGATTGGTCAATCAGCAGCATCCCTCTACTCTCATTAACATACATGCTAATTGGCAACTACATAAATACATACGACCTACATTACAGAAAACAGAAAACATAGGCAGCAAGGCAAACTCATTGTATATAAACTATAGTTTAATATTAAAATATCAAACTATCATTTTATATACAACTAAACACGCAAGAACAGTTTAACCTGTTTATTACTACAGTTATAATACATACAAGCTACAAGTTTGGCGTATCAGGGGCTACTCACTCTATACCAAAACGATTAAACTTACTAATAGGATATTTAAAATTTAAAGAATCTGGACTCTGAGGTGTCCCAGAGTAGCTAGCTACATGATCGAGCAAGACTCCAAAGATACAGAGAAGCAACTAGACCCTGGACGATTCCAGAGAAGCTACTAGACTCTGCGAGCGACCCTGGAGAAGCTGCATGAGAAATGGAATATTCAACGACTACGGCTAGACCCTCAACGATATGAGAGAAGCTGAATATGTTAGCTAGACCCTCAACGATATGAGAGAAGCTGAAACATACTGTCGTAAAATACTACATGTATAATATTATTATAAAATTGGGGGTAGAATTCCCCTAGAATTAAATGCCAAAATTGAACTATATGTTTCAACATAGAGTGAGAGCCCCCTGGGAATGCGCAACAAACTCCTTCAATGATTCAGAAAACTATGCTGTGGGGGCTCCAAATCCCTAACAGGGCATTCCCTCAGGCAGACGCTGATTGGTCAATCAGCAGCATCCCTCTCCTCTCATTAACATACATGCTAATTGGCAATTACATAAATACACACAACTTACATTACAGAAAACATAGGCAGCAAGGCAAACTCATTGTATATAAACTATAGTTTAATATTAAAATATCAAACTATCATTTTAGACCTTGCTGAGACGTTGTGTACAAATTCACAGACTTTACCACTATTTCTACTTATTCCTATTTAAGTTTTGTGTATTACCTAAATTTTCACATTTGAATAATTGTCATAGAAGTATAGGGCTCTAAAACCTATGTGTCAGCAGATTGATCAAGTTCAACAATGAAGATTTTGTAGTTTGATAGGAGACTTTAAGGAGGTTTATTTTTATAGTTTCTGTATAAAAACCTTGCTTGAACGTTATTTATTTTGTAGTTTCTGTGACACTTGTTGATATTCTGACCAGTGAGGCAAGCTTTGAGGAGTACTTACAAAATGTGCTACAGATATCACCACAAGTGATGGCTCAGCTACTCAACTCCACCCTCAGTGCTGATGGGGTGAGTCTCACACACTTTCCTTGAAAACATGGTGACCAGAATGTAACCACTGTGGATTAAATGAAAGATTTACAAAACAAAGTTATCAGATAACATGATCAGTAGTTAGGTAAATATAGTAAATAACTTTATTAATGTCAACACCAGAGTCAGTAAATACTTTCATTTGTTTCTGTATGTAGCTGGCACTGCTGAATCAGTCTGCAGCAGACATAGCTAAGACTCTGTGTGACCCAGATGAACTGTCACAGGTCTTGACCTTGCCCCAGTTTGCTAACATCACTGTGGAGGAATTAAGTAATCTCCTGTGTGGGCCTGACGTTACGTCTACAGCGGAGGTGTTCAAGTCCCTGATGGACATCTCCACCATCTCTTTACTGGTAGGCAATCAAATCTCAAATCTTTCATATCCAGTTAGATTGCAAAACAGTTATTTCAATTTATTACGAGTAACTGTGAGTCTGTTCAAATATCAGGGGAGGTAATTTCTGTTAGCGGTGTATTTTGTAAATTATATATGTACTGTGTACATTGAAATTGTGCCTAAACTGAAATAAAGGGATAGAGCGGTTTGTTTGGATTTTCAGAATACACAGGTATGATTTCCAGCATAATGTTTGGTTTACATTGGGTTCAAAGTTTTTGGGGTTGGTTTGGACAGGTACCACTGTTATCTTTGTTGCAGATGTATATTAAGATTGGAGTTAAGGTAATGTTTCATTTGTAGCTATCAGAAGGCATCTCCGACCTGAGCCAGTGGTCCGTTCTCTCAGCACACATTACAGATGTGCTCAACAATATCCAACAGCTGACAACCCTGCCCTCTATTGACATCGACCTAAATAACCTCAACACTCTCCTGCCCTACCTGCAGAGATTTATTTACGACTATGGACCAGAGGCATTAGCTGACAGGTATTTAAAATTGGTATTATGTGTACTTAAATTAAAATAAACCTAATTTATAGATTTTTTGACAATGAAGATGCCATTATCAACATGTTCATTGTACCAGTATTTGGCCTTAATGAATTGTAGTGTATTTAAGGTATGTGTATCAAACATGAACAAACACACTATCATTTCTGTATTTTTAGTTTGAATGTCCTGATTGAGGATTTTAAGTCTCTATCCAATGATACAATGACTGTCCAGTTGATGGCTGATGTACAGCATGTTGTAAAAGGATTGACCTCTCTCAAGGTCATCAGAAACTTTATTCCACTCAACGGTAAGTTGTCTCTGGAGAATGTCCTCGGAAGGAACTTAATGCTATATATACTGGTAAATAGACTAACCGTTTATTTCATTTTGGCGAGTGAGATATTTTTATAAAACTGGTTTCACACTGTTACAGATATCAAAAGTGATAAATTTATTTTTCGCAGTGTGAAAATGTCACCTTTGGTATTGATCTTTGAAAACAGTTCTTCCTATTCACTGCATTTAAAGCCTCAGATTTTTTTGTCGTGTAGATGAAGTGACACTAGAATAAGTGGTTTTGGTATGTTTTTTCTACCTGCACTAAGATATTTATCTAGTAACTAAACAGTTCATAACATTTTATTAGCAAATCCTACCAGATCTAATCAGAAAACAGGATCGCGATGAGTAGCCTATTTAGAATAGCACTAGGTTTGTTCTCAAGTGTGATATTATTAGAATATGAAGTCAATAATTACACTACCTATAAATCCCCAACTGTTTTGATGCATAGTCGTCCTTCAAGGTATTTACAAGATGTGAATAAAGACAAAATTTCCCATTGAATACCAAACATATTTTACTCGTATGACGGAACATACCCATACTTTCAGACGGAATATACCCATACTTTCTGACGGAATATACCTATACTTTCTGACGGAATATACCCATACTTTCTGACGGAATATACCCATACTTTCTGACGGAATATACCCATACTTTCTGACGGAATATACCCATACTTTCTGACGGAATATACCCATACTTTCTGACGGAATATACCCATACTTTCTGACGGAATATACCCATACTTTCTGACGGAATATACCCATACTTTCTGACGGAATATACCCATACTTTCTGACGGAATATACCCATACTTTCTGACGGAATATACCCATACTTTCTGACGGAATATACCCATACTTTCTGACGGAATATACCCATACTTTCTGACGGAATATACCCATACTTTCTGACGGAATATACCCATACTTTCTGACGGAATATACCCATACTTTCTGACGGAATATACCCATACTTTCTGACGGAATATACCCATACTTTCTGACGGAATATACCCATACTTTCTGACGGAATATACCCATACTTTCTGTCATCTTACGCTTTACACTTTTCCAAAAAGTATCAGCATTATGTCCTATTTGTAAAATGTATATTATTACAACAGGAAACCATCAAATACCCTCTCTGTACTAATAGAAAGATATAACCATGGACTGATTATGTATATTTGTATTCTGTATTCATGTGACAACCCATTTACACTATTCAAGTCATTAAGGAATAGAAATACCGCCATGATATGATGAATACATCCAACCGTGTGCTGATACATACGAACGCCCATGTTCTGATAGATAGATGAAACCATGAACACTAACCATTAGCTGACAAATAAATATAAACATTAGCTGACAAATAAATATAAACATTAGCTGACAAATAATATTGTAGGTAACCATCTTCTGATGAAAACATGAATGTACTGCAAAATAGATGTAACCAGCAACTAATACTTACATCCATGTACTGGTAAATAAAACCATGCACTGATAAATACTTACAACCATGTACTGGTAAATAAAACCATGCACTGATAAATACTTATAACCATGTACTGGTAAATAATACCATGCACTGATAAATACTTACAACCATGTACTGGTAAATACTTATAACCATGTACTGGTAAATTAAACCATGCACTGATAAATACTTACAACCATGTCCTGGTAAATAAAACCATGCACTGAAAAATACTTACAACCATGTCCTGGTAAATAAAACCATGCACTGATAAATACTTATAACCATGTACTGGTAAATACTTACAACCATGTACTGGTAAATTAAACCATGTACTGATAAATACTTACAACCATGTCCTGGTAAATAAAACCATGCACTGATAAATACTTACAACCATGTACTGGTAAATAAAACCATGCACTGATAAATACTTACAACCATGTACTGGTAAATAAAACCATGCACTGATAAATACTTACAACCATGTACTGGTAAATACTTACAACCATGTACTGGTAAATAAAAACATGCACTGATAAATACTTACAACCATGTCCTGGGCAATAAAACCATGCACTAAAAAATGCTTACAACCATGTACTTGTAAATACTTACAACCATGTCCTGGTAAATACACATAACCAAGGTACATGTCACATAGGTGACATCTAAGTCAAGATGAACCAGTCACTCAGTGATGTATTATCTTTTACAGTTGTCCTACAGGATGTGCTAAAACACCCCAACAGCTTCAGAAGCTACATGATAGCTGACCTTGGACTGAGCCCAGAGGTCACTGAGGCTTTGTTGACAGGGGCCATTGACTACACTGTGGTGAGTGTCTAGCATAGCTAGAGTTGCAGATGAAGGTCGCTGTTCCATTGCTTGAACTTTTAGCCCACCGGGTCCGAGCGACTTCAAATTGGTACATCTTCTGCTTAACCGCTGAGGGGCAGGGCCAAAAAGGGTTAAATTGGCCATATTGATTTAAACGACTTCTCTGGAACGAAGACATGGATATCAGTGGAGATTATATAGGTGTTATTGGAAGTAATTGTGCCATGACCTATGGAGTATGGATTAACACTTGTAATACTGAAGAAACCTTGTTTGATACGTATACATATACCTCTTAAAGCAACAACAACTAAAGGTCTTAGTTGTATAATGACTATTGTACACACAAAAAAACACTTTGTCACAAGGTCAAGTGTTTGATATATATATATGTCCCTGATAAGAAATGCATCCATATAAAGATTGTGTTTTTCTGTCTCCAGCTATTAGGGTATATATAAAAAGAGTGTTTTTGTATCTCCAGCTGATTGGGTATATATAAAGATTGTGTTTTCTATATCCAGCTATTAGCCTATATATATAAAGATTGTGTTTTTCTATCTCCAGCTGTTACAGTATAAATACACAGAACTAGAAGAACAAGTCTGTGACCCCTCGCTCCTGTCAGGTATACTCAATCTGACTACATCTAGTGTCAAGATGTCTCAAATCAGCACTGCTCTGTGTAACCTCAACGATGCTCAAATCGTCAATCTAACTGAAAGTCTGCTGCAGAATCTTGACATTGGGGATCTCGTTGAGCAGGTAAGATCTCGTTGAGCAGGTAAGATCTCGTTGAGCAGGTAAGATCTCGTTCTCGTTGAGCAGGTAAGATCTCGTTAAGCAGGTAAGAACATTTTTCATGAAATTTATTTTTTGTATCCTGACCAGAGAATGATTAATTCATACTGATGACATTTTATTGGCACCTTCTGTGAATACCCCAACAGAAACCAAAAAGTGAGTAGAACCCTAAATACATACATGTTAATGTAGAACCCTTAATACATACATGTTAATGTAGGACCCTTAATACATACATGTTAATGTTTTGTGTTGTTAGAAAATATTTTGTGAAAGTATACAGTTAAAAACTGAGCACAGCATCAACACACAAAAACAATGTCAACACACAGTGTCAGCACACAAGGACAAACTCTACCAGTGTCAGCACACAAGGACAAACTCTACCACAGTTTCAGCATATGAGGACAAACTCAACCATAGTGTCAGCATATGAAGACAAAATTTACCATAGTGTCAGCATATGAGGACAAACTCTACCACAGTGTCAGCACACATGGCCAAACTCTACCATTTTCAGCATATGAGGACAAACTCTACCACAGTGTCAGCACACAAGGCAAACTCTACCATTTTCAGCATATGAGGACAAACTCAAGCATAGTGTCAGCATATGAGGACAAAATTTTCCATAGTGTCAGCATATGAGGACAAACTCTACCACGGTGTCAGCACACATGGCCAAACTCTACCACAGTGTCAGCATATGAGGACAAACTCTACCACATTGTCAGCATATGAGGACAAAATTTACCATAGTGTCAGCATATGAGGACAAACTCTACCATAGTTTCAGCACACATGGCCAAACTCTACCACAGTGTCAGCATATGAGGACAAAATTTACCATAGTGTCAGCATATGAGGACAAAATTTACCATAGTGTCAGCATATGAGGCCAAACTCTACCACAGTGTCAGCACACATGGCCAAACTCTACCACAGTGTCAGCATATGAGGACAAACTCTACCATATTGACAGCATATGAGGACAAACTCTACTACATTGTCAGCATATGAGAACAAACTCTACCATAGTGTCAGCAGATGAGGACAAAATTTACCATATTGTCAGCATATGAGAACAAACTCTACCATAGTGTCAGCAGATGAGGACAAAATTTACCATATTGTCAGCAGATGAGGCCAAACTCACCAGTGTCAGCACACAAGGCCAAACTCTAACACAGTGTCAGCACACAAGGGCAAACTCTACCACAGTGTCAGCATATGAGAACAAACTCTACCATAGTGTCAGCATATGAGGACAAAATTTACCATATTGTCAGCATATGAGGACAAACTCACCAGTGTCAGCACACAAGGCCAAACTCTACCACAGTGTCAGCACACAAGGACAAACTCTACCATAGTGTCAGCACACAAGACCAAACTTTATCACAGTGTCAGCACACAAGGGCAAACTCTACCATAGTGTCAGCACACAAGGCCAAACTTTACCATAGTTTCAGCACACAAGGGCAAACTCTACCATAGTGTCAACTTACCAAGACGAATAAACCACAGCATTTACACTGAACACAAAATCTTCACTCAAAGTTGAAATGAAATCAAAACAACACATACAGAAGCCCAAGGAAACATGAAAGCAATAAGGAAAAAGATCATTAATCCAATTGTGTATACTCCTTTGTTGTAGTACCTGATATCTGGCGTAGGTGGGCTACTTAATGCGATCAATGTGACATCAGCAGAGGTCGCCGATTCACTAACGAAGCTTAGTGCCGCAGAAGAAGATCTGACAGCAGCTGCAGCTATTTACAAAAATGGATCAAAGGATCTCAATCTCAACATTTTCTCTTCTCCAGAGGCCCTCACAGGTAACTAAATATCACACAGGTAACTAACACACAGGTAACTAAATAACACACAGGTAACTAACACACAGATAACTAAGTATCACACAGGTAAATAACACACAGGTAACTAAACATCACACATGTAACTAAATATCACACAGGTAACTAAACATCACACAGGTAACTAAACATCACACTGGTAGCTAAACATCACACAGGTAACTAAGTATCACACGGGTAACTAAGTATCACACAGGTTACTAAGTATCACACAGGTAACTAACTATCACACAGGTAACTAAGTATCATGCAGGTAAATAAATATCACACAGATAACTAAATAACAGACTGGTAACTAAATAACACACTGGTAACTAAATATCACACAGGTTACTAAATATCACACAGGTAACTAAGTATCACACGGGTAACTAAGTGTCACACAGGTTACTAAGTATCACACAGGTAACTAAATATCACACAGGTAACTAAGTATCATGCAGGTAAATAAATATCACACAGGTAACTAAATATCACACAGGTAACTAAATAACACACTGGTAACTAAATAACACACTGGTAACTAAATATCACACAGGTTACTAAATATCACACAGGTAACTAAGTATCACACGGGTAACTAAGTATCACACAGGTTACCAAGTATCACACAGGTAACTAAATATCACACAGGTAACTAAGTATCATGCAGGTAAATAAATATCATGCAGGTAACTAAGTATCACACAGGTAACTAAATAACACACTGGTAACTAAATAACACACTGGTAACTAAATGTCACACATGTAACTAAATATCACACAGGTAACTAAGTATCACACGGGTAACTAAGTATTACACTGGTAACCTAATATCACACAGGTAACCTAATATCACACAGTTAACTAATATCAGGATGTTGTTTGTTAAACCATGTATTGTCGTTAGCATACATTGACATTTGTGGTACATTTCCAACATTGCAACCTACTGAATGGAAACATAATCTTTTTAAAATGTGTGAGCTGGAAAATGTACAACAATATTAGCCACTGCAGTTCTTACCTAGATGACAAATTTCTAAAAATAGTGATCAAGTCCTTTAGCAATGTTCATGTCTTTTCAATATGGTATTTCTTGTCAGATTGACTGGAATACATCTTTTATTATGTAAAGTGATAAGGTTAAAAAAGAGCTTTTTTCATGCCTTTGTTTCGGAAAAAAACCCAGTTGAACCTGTAAATTAAATGTCAGATAATGGAACTGTATTTCCATTCTATTTTGTAGGGAGCTCTCTGCCATCACTATCTGGTGTTTTGTGTGGTGATAGTTCTGGGAGTCTGTCCTTAAGTGACTCTATTGGAATCTCTGGCAAAGTAGGGTCCTCACAAGATCTATCTGACGATCAGCAGAAGGAAAAGAAACAACTCTCAGGTAACAATAGGTCACATGTTGATTGTATATACATGTCAGACGGGAGCTGTGTCTGAGAGGGTTAGTCACATGTTGATCGTATATACATGTCAGACGGGAGCTGTGTCTCTGTGAGGGTTAGTCACATGTTGATCATATATACATGTCAGACGGGAGCTGTGTCTCTGTGAGGGTTAGTCACATGTTGATCGTATATACATGTCAGACGGGAGCTGTGTCTCTGTGAGGGTTAGTCACATGTTGATCGTATATACATGTCAGACGGGAGCTGTGTCTCCGTGAGGGTTAGTCACATGTTGATCGTATATACATGTCAGACGGGAGCTGTGTCTCTGTGAGGGTTAGTCACATGTTGATCGTATATACATGTCAGACGGGAGCTGTGTCTCTGTGAGGGTTAGTCACATGTTGATCGTATATACATGTCAGACGGGAGCTGTGTCTCTGTGAGGGTTAGTCACATGTTGATCGTATATACATGTCAGACGGGAGCTGTGTCCCTGTGAGGGTTAGTCACATGTTGATCGTTTATACATGTCAGACGGGAGCTGTGTCTCCGTGAGGGTTAGTCACATGTTGATCGTATATACATGTCAGACGGGAGCTGTGTCTCTGTGAGGGTTAGTCACATGTTGATCGTTTATACATGTCAGACGGGAGCTGTGTCTCCGTGAGGGTTAGTCAAATGTTGATCATATATACATGTCAGACAGGAGTTGTGTCTGCATGATGGTTTAGTCACATTTTGATCATATATACATGTCAGATGAGAGTTGTGTCTTCGTGAAGGTTAGTCACATGTTGATCATATATACATGTCAGACGGGAGCTGTGTCTCTGTGAGGGTTAGTCACATGTTGATCGTATATACATGTCAGACGGGAGCTGTGTCTCCGTGAGGGTTAGTCACATGTTGATCGTATATACATGTCAGAC